CAAGGGCGGCATGGTGCTGGGTGACCCCTACCCCAAAAATGGTGCTGGGTGACCCCTACCCCAAAGGACCAGGGCTATAGATGGACCTTCCCAAAGCCAAGTGTCAGCACCAAGTTTTGATTTTTAACACAATGCTGGAGACCATTCCAAGAGGCGGCAGATGGTTTTATAGTTTATGTAAAAGTATAAAACGCTCACACTCTATCAAATGGGCACCAGTATAAAAGGCATCTTCGGATCAAATGAGGCAAAGCCAAAGAGATACAACAGCTGTTACTCGGCAGTGTTTAAAGCATAATAGTAACATTACTATGGTTTATATTTAAGGAGACATTATTTGGAGTTTATGTGTGTGACATATTCATGACGAAGCTGACAGGCAGTCTAATATATTCAACAACCAATTGCTAAGAGATACAATTTTTACTTCACTATAACTGCAACAGCCACTAATTCTATCCCCTGGTGTTCTGGCGCATTAGGCCAAAATGAGCCAAAATCTCAAAGCAAAATGTGAAGGACACAGTTGTAGGATATGATCATTGGAACAATCTTTAAATGTTTTCAGTTAATTTTTAAATGCTTTTATTTTAATTTAAAATGATTACTTTTAAAGGATTTTTTTTACAATATCTAAACTGCACGTGGGTACAGCAGTATGTATGTGGGATTGGGTCATTTATTAAAACACATATTAACATGTTTAAAATATGAAATCAGTTTGTTTCCTTTTAGTACCAACTGCCTGTGATGGTTTTGAAGTATGCACATTTAGCAATGTGTAATATATTTTTGATACTGGTTTTCACTTAATATCTTTTGACTTAAGCTAAATGGTAATGCTGAAAAATAGACCAGTTGCTTAAAAGCAAAAATTCTTATTAAATCTAAAATATGATGGCACCGAATCAAACCACAGAAAAAAAGGCCATATAATGTTCATACTTTGTTGTTCTGAAGAAAGATAATGAAGTTTCCCACACAGCACAATTGAAAGGTAGACAGTCAAATTTACTCAGAAGACAGGTTCGGTAAAATAAATCCCTTTCTACTTCCTTGACCATAATCCTAACAAGTCATTACATTATTTCAATTAACAGAATAATTTTTCTGGGGTAAAAATTAGTGCAATTTATTTTGTCATTGTTACTAAAGTTTCTTGTCAAATCAGACTTTGAGTTGAAAGGTCTGAGTAATTCTAGCTTATCTTACACTGTACCATTATTTTAAACTTCCGTATTTTATTCCAGTAGATTTTTAAGTACACACTGTATACATTCCTCAGGTCTAGGCATATTAAGTGCTGATGTTAAACAGAAAGGGAAACCATGTGCAACTAGATAAATTTATCTCAAGGGAAAAAGGGCACATTAATAATTGAGATAATGTTTTCATAAATGTTGGAATCAAATGTGTCTTTTCATTTCTTCATTAGAAAACACATTAGAATAAAATTATCTCACTCTCATCAATAAGACCTAATTGCTGGGAAATGTTTTCAGAAAGATTTTTCCCATCATGTTCAAGTAACTAGATATATATCATATACATACCCAAGTCTAACTAAGATAAACATACATAATCAGGGAAAATGATAGTTTTAAATAAAAATGTTGTAGGGTGGATTATACAATTTCAATTCATTATTTTTCAAACACAGTAAAATTCAGATTCTAAAAGAAATTGACCCAAAAATTGACTAATCTTTGATTTTTAGTTTGTCACTTTCCTTAGACTATACCAAAAAATTGCCTTGACTTAGTATTAAAAATAGAAAGAAAGACAAACTCTCATAATTTCCTATAAATACCACCAAAGAGTCAAACGATCTTGATGGTAATGGAATGATAATAAACTTTCTTTAAATTAATGTTATTTTTAAGAACAATGATTATATATAAAGAAAATATTAACTGAAAGACGGTAGCACCCTTATAAACCCCCAAATGAGCTTTCGAGGGCTGATAGATGTTAAATATTAAAAAATCATTTTTCTACAAAGAAACAGAGCTTTTAATGATTAAACAAAAGGAGCAACTAAGGTGAATCTGATTGTTCCTGTAATAAGCCTTCATGTGTATAATAAAGTAAAACCATACTAAAAACAATGAACTGTAAACTGAAACAAAAATCCATCATCTACTTGGAAACAGTGACGGGCAAAGATTAGCAATCCATTTATTGTCCTGAAATAAAGATAAGTAACTCTTGTGAGACCAGCAGGACCTGCATACTGAACTCTAAATACAAAGACATTTCTTCCTCAGCAAGTTATTTTAAATAATGAGTGACTTTTAAAATGAAGTGGTTATGATTCAACTGCTTTTAATTTCTGAAAGATCTGCTTTATGTCGACCTGATATTCTGGAAGATATCTAAAAGAACATGTTGTAAAAGGGGATAATTATTCCATGAGTCATTAAACAATTATTCCTGAAAGTTTTCTATAGACCTACAGTATATTCCAATTGTAGGTTCTTTCTAATATAAAAGACATAATGATTTAAAAACTTTCACAAAGAATTTAAGTTTGCAAGGGAAGATGAAAATTTAAGGAACACTCCAAAATTTAGAATCTTCTGCTATTAATGAAACTTATTTCAAATTGTCACATTTCATAAAAATAACAAATCATGTGCTTAAAATTTTTAAATAAACTCACGCTTCATTGCTAAAAAATAATTACACTGATAGGAATCTGAAACCTATTAAAGTCTGAGTTTCATCTTTCAAAGGGTCACTGGCATGAAGTTACCTAGCCTCAATCAGTCACATTTATATGATCTCCCGGGGAACTGACACATTTTGCATGTCTGCGGTTTTACAATCCTTTCAATCCCCTGAATGTATGTTATTCTAACTGTTCTTACATATGATAAAAATACAGAGATTATGTCCCAACTTTAGGAGTAGAGCCTTGGAGAGTATCCAAGCATACACCCAGCAAATCTTTTCTAATCCAGAACCAACTCTATGCACTCCCCACCCCAACCAACACAATCAATTCCTATTCTCCCAACGACAGGCACGACTCTAGCTACTGAAGTACTGACAAAAACCAAAAAAACAAGTGATGCCCCAGCCCTTTAACTACGGCAAAATGCTCACTTCATCAAGTACAAGTTGAGGTACAAAAGAAAGGCTCCAGTTTTCAGTACTAAGGCCTAGCGTTCTATTCTGCGTGGAGAGCCTTTTCCTGCCAGCACCAGTCATCCAACACCTTTTACAAAAAAAAATAATAATAAGGAAAAAGAAATGACCCAATGAAATTTTGTTTTCATGATTCTGTTCCCTGGCACGCTAAAAATGGAAGGGCGCTGACTCTTAGGCACCAGAGGGCTACAGAACAGTGTTCTGTCGTGACATTTCTGAACAGAACATATCTGTACCTCTAAGCAACTGCTTCACTACTTCACTATTTCCTCAGAAGAAAGTACTGGCCACCCTTTAACTGGGTGGTATCAGAGTGCCTCCCTGGAGGTTAGATCTGACTAGTCGGAAACAAAAGCCAGTTAGGAAATACTTCACAACCAGATGCTCTGATGCTTTTCTACGTGTCAGTTTTTCCAGAAACACTAACTTCTGACCTGTCTCAATACACAAGCCCATTTCCTCTAGCCCTATTTTCTTTTAAAAATTTCAATTTTTTTTTTTAAGGAAACAATCCTAGTTGGCAACGTAAATATTCCCAAGTTGTTATTCTCATTCAATAGTCTTCTTCTGAAAGACTGAAAATGTATAATGGAAAGGCCCAGGCGTGGGCAGTGGTGGGCTGTCCAGTCCCATGGCGGCTGTGGGCTGTGATGCCAGCACTTAGCTCCACCCAGGCCAGGGGGCCCTGCAGTCAGAGGCCTCACCACCCCTCTGCTCACAGCTGGGGAAGGCTCTGGACACTCGGTCTGGTCTTCACTCATACAGTGCTAGCCAGAGTGGGTGCTCAGCCATGACCTCGGGTGAATGCCTGAGTCCCATGAGTTCTAGTTAGTTGCTGTTGGGCAGCTCCCAGTGAAATGATCACTCTGACGGGACACTGAGTTAGGGTGAGGGTAAGCGGAAGCAGAATCGACCAAACCAACCTGACTCCTGGCATTTAATACACTTTTTTTTGTGGTATTCTCATTGTACTCCCTTGCCGAGCCTCAGCTAGGGTTACCTATTGCCTAAGCTTCTAAACATCTTATATTTTATAAATAACTCCCACGGGTGGGACGTAGGTAGGATTAAGGGCAGTGCTACCCACCGAAGGGCTGTCTCTTTGGGCATAAACCTCAGTAATCAAACCTGCACCTTCAGGGGAAAAAAATCTCAGTTTGGCGTTTTTCATATTGGTTATTTATTTTTAAATAACAGCATCAGGTAGGATGGTGCCACTGAAGTATTATTACACACTGGCTTATACCAAAGTGCTCAGTGTGTCAATACTCTGCTTTTTCTACCTCGTTGAAAACCACTGTTTAGCTGTACTTTGTCAGAGAAGCGGCAGAATTCATCACTTCTGGGTCCCAATACGACTTGCCAGGTTTGGGTACGCACAAAGTTGGGAGACACCGTAGTCTCACCGTGCTCACAAATGTGTTTTTATCTGAGAACGTGAGTCTGACTCTCCTTCGTCCTGTTTCTGTTCCTCCTTGTGAGTAAAAACCTTTCAGAAGTGCTTGGAACAGGACTAAAGGTCACTGAGCTAATGCCCCAGTGCCCAGGCTCGCCTGCTCATCTCCGCTGATTTCTCCTGATCTAAAAAGACCAATGGTTAAGTAAAACCCAGCAGCCTTGCCGGGACACGGGACACAGGCGGGCTACCTAACGCCCTCTTCAGAACCTGCAGCTCTGTGCTTCTAGTGGGCCGGCTGCTGTGCCAGGTGTGGCCTTACCAGACCTGAAAATCTATTCTACACTAACCTCTGGGGAACACAGAGGCTCTCCCAGAGCCACCCCGGGGCAAGGGCTGGCTCTCTGCCATCAGAGCCCGCGGGGCAGCCAGGTGCTGGGGCCGCACTTACCTCCCAGAGATGCTGCGTGTTCCTCACGGCGCCCGCCTGCACCTTCTCGGGCGGCAGAAGCACGCCCTGGAAGGGCCCGATCCACGTGCCCTGCTGGATCCTCTGAGCCGCGCAGATGCCGTAGGCCAGGCCGGGCACGGTGCTGGTGCACAGGCACACCTCCCTCGGCAGGTCCCTCAGCCACTCGGGCAGCTCCGGCGGCGGCGCGGCGGCCGCGGCGCTGCTGGTTCCCACAAGCCTGCGCAGCGAGTGCAGCGGCCCGTGCATCGGACATTCACCGTTGCGGTTGTCAGCGCACATGTCGCAACCTGCGGGGACAGGAAGGAGGGAAGGGAGAGGGTCAACCCGGAGGCTGGGGTCCATCCCCCGGGAAATCCCAGGCACAGGACCCCGCCAAGTCCCCTTAAGCCACCTTCGGGGAAGGTGAGGTTTCTAGGATGCCGGGAGGACGCGCGCGCCGGGTGGCTAATTTAGACACTTTGCGCGCTCAAGTCCTCCTGGGGCTGAGTCCTGGGTGGCCCCCAAAACCTTTGGGGCTGGGAGCCCAAAGTGAGGCGCTCTTCTTGGACCTGAGGGCACTGCTTCTCCTGCTGGTCTCCGGGTTCCCATTTCTCTCCCCGTTTCCGTTTCTGTTTCCCCAGCCTCTCTCCTGTTCCCAGCCCGCTTTCTCTCTAGAGTTTCCAGGTGTTTATTGCTGTTCCACTAAGTCAGTCCCTCTCTTGCCCATGGCACATTCTACAGGTCTCTTTACCACTACAGAGGAGACTTTAAAAATCAACAGGTCAGCCAAACCACCTGTCTGGTACCGAGTGCCACTGCCATTCCTCGGGACCTGTGCCCCCGCAAGTGCCCAGCACAGAGGCAGAGCGGGTCTGGGGTCCAGAGGAGCCAGAGCCCCAGTCCACAGCAACGGCTGGGGGTCCCATCAGTTCACCCAGTAGCCCCACTCTGCAGGCGGCTGGGAAATGCGAGGGGTTCTGCTCCAAGGGTTTAGGGTACCTGTGCTTGTGAAAACTGTTCCTACTAGCCAAAAAGAAACCAATGGCAAATGTGATTATCAGGGGAATGGGCCTTTAGAGATGGGGGTAGCCGTCCAGTGGAGAGGGCCTGACTCCAGCACAGTTGATTCCCAGGTTAAATGAGATTATCTTGCATTATAAACTAAGGAGACCTATTATAAAGCCAGGCCCCTCTGAAGCTCTGCAGAGCAGTCAATGAGCAGGAGCCCCCACCCTCTGGGTCTGGAGGCTGTGGACGGCCAGTGTCCATCCACTGGAGCTGGGCAGGGTAAGGCCAACTGGCTGCAGGAAGCAGGGCCTGCGGCAACCATGCTGTCGGTTTGCAGCGCCCTCCGGGTTATTAATGGGCCTGGCGGAGCCGCCTTGTCTGTGGTGTCTGTGGCGGGCTCAGCAGATCAGCAGACCTGCCTCAAGGAGGCAGCCTCTTCCCCCTGCCCCCACCCTGCCCTGCTGCAACCAGGCCTCTTTAGCCTAGGTTTCCTGGGGAGTCACTGTGTCCTCTTGCAAAAGAGCACCAGTGACTCAGAGCCCCATATGGCCAGTTCTGCTGGCAGGGACAGCGAGAGCTGGGCAGCAGCAGAGGACTGTCCTCAGGTGGTTGACTGCCTCAGGGCTCCAAGCACCAGCACCTGGAGACTGCTAGGTCCCATGGGTCACCGTGTATGAAACCGCCCAGGAACATGCGACATAGTGAATCCTGGGAAACCTCAATGAAGGATGACTAAATCAAGAGCCATGAGCACAGTGGGGGGACCCTCCTTGGGCCATTTCTTCACACAACAGGTAAGGGTGGAGTCTGAGCAGCCTATATTAGAGGCAGCGGATTCCAGTCCACCACGTCCCTTCAGTCAGCAATTCCCCACTCCTCCCAAGAGAGCCCAAAGAATATGGGACCTCCTGACTACGGCTTTTGGAAGTGTCCCCAGATTTCTACAGTAAAAAGCCACAACCTGTTTCTGCAGCCAGACACAACTAGCAACCTGTTTGCTAGTTGCTGCAGGGCTCTGGACCTCACTCACACAAATCCTCTTGCAACACACGACTCATGTAAAAACTGTGTCAGGTTCAGCTTTGGACACTAGGACCAGATGAAAGCAGCCCAACTTTCCCCACTTGTCACGACCCCCAGGACACACCCTCCATGTACTCATGCAGCTTCCGAATGTAAAAGTAAAAACTTACAAAGAGGGGATGCATAAATAATACAACTTCGAGTTTCCCTGTCCCAGTGGAAGCCAGACACCTGTCTCAACCCAAACCACCAGCATGTCATCTAAGTAGCTTGAGTCCCGTTTGGCAGATGAGGCAACTGAGGCTTCACGAGCAATGTAACTGGACCAAGGTTCGTAAACTCGAGAGTGCAGAGAAAGAGTCACAGCCAGGTCAGCTTGATTCTAAAGACTAATGAAAGCTCAGTCTGTAGAAATAAAAACTTCATTGAAGCAACAATACTGGGACCACCAGGAATTGTTGCATGTCTGAATTATAGTTCTCCCCATTTGTTTCCACACTCTTGGGCTTGGGGAGATTGAAGAGAATGAATGAGGGGAGTAAATGGATAATGCCCCATAATTTTGAATTTTTGTGCCTAACTTCAGAGATAGCCTTTCAGCACCTGAGCAAAAAGCTAACACAAATGTCAATAGGCAAAGGCACTATGCCCATGAAAATAAATGTAAATCACCCCCTGAAAACTGCTCAGCAGACTTTTCTTTCTGCTCGGTTCAGAGAAACAAAGACTGAGAAGCCAGAGTGCTTGGTATCCACACCCCTGACATCCGCAGCAGAGATCTAGGCCCTCCCCGCATCTCCACGAGACAAAACCGACACCAACTGCATCAGACACAAAATAAGGAGCAAAAGCACCCACTTCAGCCATCAGCCCCACTGTTAGCAGGCTTACTCGGGATATGTGTACTGCATGATAAAAGCATCCTTCTAGAGACCTCCTGGGCTTGCTAAGTTGCATTTCTTTCACTGAAAAAAAACTAAATAGCATTTTGCAGTGTGAAAAGCTGAGGCTTTCCCAGTATAGAGAGGGCTACCTCTCTGTTAGGTCCAGGACAGAGAAGGCAAGATCAATCTAATTTCATTAGTCTGCTCCATGTGAGTGTGAATTCGTGAAGCACTTCACACTACCTCAAAATATTCTGCCAGGAAAGTCGAAATACAGGTTACAGCCTAATGCCATTGTATTTTAATACAACAAACACTGGCCACTGAGATTATCTGACTTCTGACTTATGCCTCGCAGCCCCAAAGGAGCTTAAGTATGTTTAGAACAAGTCACTGATTACTCAGAGTTGACGAATGTGCAACGAGTGGACATTCTAACAGTGTCTTCTTGAGAGCAAGCCACAAACACCTACATGAAACGCTGGGGTGGAAGCTGAACAGAGGCCCAATGACACACATGTATTTATTTACAGACACATAAGTATGTGTGGCTCTAATGATACATACATCACATATGCATGCAGCAGCTATAATGCACGCAGCATCTGAGGTGAGCAATAGATCATGCAGCTATTAGCCTCCTTAAAGAGAAGCCAACTAAAGTTCCTGCTTGCTCCTCAACTCAGATAAGTTTTGGTACAAATTCATCCCTATGATTCAGAAAAAGTTTTTTGAGAGCTGTAAAGGAGTATCACCATATTCTGCAAGCAAGATCATCTGAAAGTTATACAGGGAATACAAGCAGGCACGGCCCCTTTGCTAACTGCTGCAAATGTCCCTGGATGTTTGTGGACCCTGAAGGCTAGGCTACAGATGTGTTCACCTACTGACTTCAGCAGCTCCGGCCAAGTGAACAGAAGAGCTGGTCTTCACGCTCAGCTTGTTCTGGTTGTGCAGCGCTTGCCTGTACGAGTGCCAGGCAAGCAAACCAGGCCACAGTTTTCTACTCGTTCATTTGGCTTTCTAGGAGAGTTGGGCTAAAACATGATTGGGGTCTTTTATCTGCTGTCTGGGCCTGCAAACCATGCCTGTGGGTCAGGATGCAGGAAGCATCGCCACTACTTGCTGCTCTGTGAAGCCTCCCCTGCCCTCACAGGCCCTCTGCAAAGGGAACCAAGGAGTCTCTGAAAAGCCACCGCAGGCAGTAACCTCTGAGGCCATAAATCCTCCGCAACCCCAAGGAGGTCACGGCCCTCAGTCCCCAAGGCAGAGCCAGCAGGGCCAGTGGCCATTGATCGATCCCCACCGGGAGGCAAGACCCAGGGAGAGAGCGCCTGCTAGCGGCCCAAGCGAGCACTGGTCTGGCAACTGACACACGGAGTTGCGGGGAGGGTGGGGAGGGCTAGGACCTCTGGCACTGGGGCTCAGCCTCACCCCCACTCCTGGTCTCCAGCGCCTTCTCCCCCTGCACTCCCAGTTCAATATGGTATTGGTGTGAGGTGCCCGTGGGCAGCCAGGCGCTTGCCAGGAGAGTCCCCCACCTATGTCTGACTTTTCAAGGCTTTGCCCCCTGCAGAGCAGAAAGGGCCTTCTGAGAGCCTAAGACTGAAAGTAGGTGCAAGCTGCCACCTACAATACAGAGCCCTATCCCGCCCGCTCCCCACCAGGTCCTTGTGTTCCACCAGAGAGGGGTTTTCACAGCTCCTCAAAGTGGATCTAGAAGTAGATCCAGAGGCAAGGCAGACCGGCCCAGCCACCGGGAAGGGGACCGGTGTGTGACCAGCTCCTGGAGGGGCAGCCCATGGGGCACCTTCTCAGGGACGCTTGGGACACAGTCTGGAGTTCCCGGCAGCTGTACTGAGCTTTTTCTGCTGGCCAGACCGCCGGCTTGGGACCCAGCAGCAGACATAATGAGGGGGAGGGACAGCGAGGAGGAAGGAAATGTGGGTTTTATTTGTTTCCCGATGACTGTATTAATAAATTAAATGGGAGCGCCAGTGTGAGGGCGAGAGAATATTGCAGGGAGATAAACCTCGCCGGCCCCTGCCCCTCTGAGGCAGCCTTATACAATGCAGAGATGATGAATAGGAGGCGAGAGAGGAGATCGAAGAGGGTCTGGGCTGGCTCCACTCTCTCCCACAAAACTATAGGGCAATTAATTGTGGCTTGTCCCCTCATCCTTCATCTCCTGGTGGCACATATCGATGGAGATTACTGCTGATGGACCATTTTATCACCTTAAATAAACAGTCACCACCTCTTCTAACCTCAATCTAATATATGGCTCTATGTTCAGTTTCAGGGTGCTAGATAACGGGTGATGTAAAATCGCTGAATCACGTGTGATACAGGATGGGGCTGAGCCTGCACCCGAAAAGAGAAAAAGAAAAACGACCAGCACAAACCACCACACGCCGATGCAAAGCCTGCTTCCTACGGGGAGGGGGCTGGAAACCTTAGGCACAGCCGAGATGTCAGGAGGACACTAGAACCCAGCAATGAGACTGCCCAGGGGGCTTCGGAGAGCGCTTGCTAGTGGGTCACTGAGCTCAGAACTTCCCAAACAGGACCTTCCTTTTCCAACTGCGTGGGGGAAAATTCAGGAAGATCTGAAAATACTCCCCCTCCTTTATGTCTTCCCCTGACCCATCAACCAACAAACCAGCACTGGGCCCGGGTGACCTCCCCCTCAAGCTCTCTCCCCAAACCCTTGCAATGGTGGCGCCACCGACCCGAGAGCCTCTGGGTTGACACTCACACCTGTGCACATACTGGTTAGCACCGTTCCGAGTGCCGTTTGTTACCTGTGCAGCGGGGCTCCCCTAAATGGGAGGAGACGGAGATCTCCAGTTGGGGAAGTTCTGCACAGACAACCCGATTCTGCGAAGAGAGATTAAGTGGAACTTA